CCCCAAAACCCCAAAACCCCATGAGATTAATAATACAATAAATTAAATTTTTTTCATTATAATATAAATGTTTTTTTAAAAAAAATAGGAGATAAATTAATTGAATTATCTTCACATTTCCATTCCTGATTTTAGCTTATAAAAATAAGAATAGGGATTTTCAGAAAGTTCATTAAATGTTCCTTGCTCTATAATCTCGCCTTTATGCATTACCAATATCCGCTCACAATTTCTAATAGTTGAAAGTCTATGAGCAATTATGATACTAGTTCTGCCTTCCATTGCTCTATCTAGAGCTTATTATACTTTATTCTAAGATTGTTCATCAAGAGCAGAGGTAGCTTCATCAAGAATAAGTATTTTGGGATCTTTAATTAAAGCTCTAGCAATAGCAATTCTTTGTTTTTATCCTCCTGATAGCATTGCACCTTATAATCCACATATCTTGTTAAATCCTTAATGCAAGGTATCATCATTCTCATCATTTTTAATGTGAAATTTGTGATTATTATTATTACTCAAAGATAACTGATCTAATAGTATGGCAAGTTTTGCTTATTACTCTAACGTGAGCGTTATTTCTTCTCTCAAAAGATCGATTAAAGTTTGGGAATAAGGTTTCTAGATTTGATATTTCATAATAATCTATTCTATTTAACATATTTAAATGGTCTCTAAATCTTTTTAATGTTCCTCGAATAGCTTCTCGATATCATGAAGAAATTATATTCCATTTAGAATCTCAACCCAGGAAGAAGTTGTTAGTGAGCTATAAATTCGTATTACTTCGATGAATCTTTCAAAGTTTGTTTCAATCATTTTAACCTAGCTTATATCATCAGATTTTAGGAATATTTAGGTCATTAATTCAATTGTTCTAGCATTGAGAGTACATTCTTCGGATAATAAAGCAACCTATTCTTCAAGGTTTGAAAAATAATTTAATGACTTTAACTTTGATTAAATCACTTCTTTAAGGTTTTCTATTAGGTTTTGCTATTATTCTTTTTAATCTTTGTCTTACTCATCCTATTCAATGAAATGTAAACAATTAGCTAGTTAAGCAGCCTCTTTAATTTATCTGTTAGTGGCTTTCCTATTTCCATAGATAATGTTGTCTTTAATACTTATGTTAAATAGCTTTGGCTCTTACATGACATAGCCAATCTAAGATCTTAGAGTCTTAACATCATAACTCTCTAAATCAATATTATCAATTAAGATTTGCCCTTGCATCTTCTCATACATTCTTAAAATCAAACTTGCTATTGTACTCTTGCCACTACCTGAGTGTCCAACAATAGCTACCTTCATTCCAGCATGAATTTTGAACGATAAATTTTTCAAAATCTTTTATTACCTAGAAGGGTATCTGAAATCCACATTTTTAAACTCTATCATTCCTTAATTTACATTAAGCAGTTAAGCTTTTTCTAGTTGTGAAATTTTTGGGTTTTTAATTTTCTCATCTTCAATGATTCCAAAAATTTTGTTGGCTGCATGCTTTGATTTAGAAAATGAAGGGATTAATGATATAGAAGAACCTGCTGCAAAAGCTGCCATCATGACTGTGTATATTGCTATGAATGTCTGTTCTGGGTCATCATTTTGATCGAAGATAAAGATTGTTGCTAGGTAAAAATTTCCTGCAAAATACAAAAATCTAACACCTTGGAAATAACCGAATAAGAAGCCTGAAAAATGGGCAGATCTTTTTCCTTTTCTCATTGGTTCCTCTAGAAAACTAGCATATTTTTACAGGAGGTATTCAATGTTCTTAGGCCCAAAGCTTATTACTGTCATATAGTTCATTAAGACATCAGAAACCAAGGCATTAGCCTTATCATAAGGATCCAGGACTTAAGAATCCTTGCCACTTTGCTAACTAGAACTCTTAGTCCTATCCCATATCACAAGTTATAAGGCAACACCAGCAAACATTACGAAAGGTGCTGTAGCAAGAGATACAAGAGCCATTTTCCAATGATAAAATACTGCGATAATTGCACCAACAACCAAAGTTAATATAGCTTCAAGAATATTAGAGATAGTTTCCCCAGTCAATCCATTTAAGGCAGTAATATCTTCTGAGAAAAGACTTATCAAGATTCCAGGAGCTCTGTCTTTCCTGTCAAACCAACTTACATTCTTTTTTATTATTGTGGAGTAAAGCTTGGTTCTGATAGAGCATGACAAATTCTCACCTAAATGCTTGTGTAAGCTTCTTGTAAGAAAATCAAATAGTCCTGTACCCAGAGCTAATACAATGTAAAGACTGCACCAATAATTTCTATCTTCGATAAAAGTACTAGAATGGTATTTCATGATTATGAAAAGGTTTTTCATGTATATCATTCCATTTAATGGAAAAGCAAAAGCATTAATAAAGCTAACTATCATTGTAAGAATTATCAAATATCTGGGTCCATAATGCTTATTGATCTAGGAAATAAGAGATGTAGCTGGAGATGCTAGCTAGCTAGTAACCATGAGGTCATCAGGTGATATCTAGTTACAGTCATCAGAGATTTGGGAATTTTCAAGATCTCTAGCTGTATTTAATCTTGGAGATTTGTTTTATTGTATAGTAGATGGCCAGTCTTCTTAATCCGATTAGTATTAAATATCGTATTGTTCAATTTTAAAATTTTCAACCAATTCCTCGAATTCTTAGTTTTAATCCAGTTCTTGTAGTATAGAGGCATATTAATGAGTGCCCTTGACTGCTGTCAATATAGTCTTATCTTTTTTAAAGAATATTAAGTTTTCTGCAGATTTTATAGTCTATAATCGATGAGCAATCACTATTGTCGTCAAACTATTTCCTTAGTTTTGAATGTTAATTAAAGCTTATTATAAGTATTTTTTCTGCCTATTAATATTTTGCTTCATCGAGAATAAGTATCTTAGGCTTCTTTATTAAAGCTCTTGCTATAGCTATTCTTTGTTTTTGCCCTCCTGAAAGATTTATAAGTGATGATGAGCCAATATAGGTATCAAGTTAATTTTCCAATTCATAAATGAAACTTGCATTAGCAACTTTAACTGTATTTTTTATATCTTCATCACTTGCATCTATATTTCCTAACAAGATGTTATCTCTTATTGTACCTATAATCAAAACAGGCTCTTACTAAACATAGCCAATTGATTCACGTAATGTTTCTAATGAAACTTCTCTAATGTCTACATCGCCCATTTTGATTTACCCTAGTTACGGATCATAAAATCTCTCTAATAATTATATAATAGTACTTTTACCAGACCCTGATGCGCCAACAATAGCAGTAGTAGAATTAGTTTTAATCTCAAAATTCAAGTTCTCCAAAGTGTTTTATTTAGCATTTGGATACTTAAATGAGACATCTATAAATTCGATTTTATCGAAATTAGGCATATTGTATAAGCAATTATTATTATTTTGAATAGTTGGTTGTCTATTGATTATTTTAAATATTTCTTCACCCACTTAAATGGCTTTTACTAAAGCTGAGAAGTTAGGAATTAATTGAAAAGCTGAAGAAGTACAAGTTAGTATCACAAAAAGAATGGATACGATGTCTTGCTAGGTATAGGGCTTGCCTGTACATGGATTTACTTTAGATTTATCAAGATATAAAGTTGCCATCCACATGTTGAATCCATAGCTACCATATATAGCGCATTTAAGTATGCCTATAAATCCACTTGTGAAGTATTCTGATTTAATACTGAAATCTTTAGCATTATATGCTTTACGATTAAAATCTTCAATCTCACTTTCTTCTTGAGCAAATGTTGATATTACTTTAATTCCTGATAAGCTTTCCTCTATTTTACCTCCTAATATATTCATTTTCTCAGAAGAAATATTAGCAGCCTTTTTTACAAAGCCTCCAATAATAATTATCAAAAAGATAGCTAGAGGGAATATAGTCAAACAAATAAGTGCAAGATCAACCCCATACACAAGAGATAAGACTACAGATGCTGTTATGTTTGATAAAGTAAAAATAATTGTTGAGAACTTCTGGCCAATTGATTCTTAAATTTGGAAAAATTTTTCCCCGATTGAGGCTGGTAATTGCTCTATCTTTACTTCATCATAGAAACTTATTTCCTGCCTCAAAATTGCTTTCAAAAATCTCACTCTTAGATCGAAGGAAATATTTTCTGCTACTAATTGCCATAATGCAAAGTAGAGATACCCACAAAGCCATATAAAAGAAGCTACTATCGCTATTCTTTTAGTGACATCTATAAGAATTTGCTTCCTTCCTGTCGTGTTTGAGTATGGATCAAAAGCCTCAGATATATCCCCTAAAAAAACATCACCTACAGGGATCAAGGTCCCAGTAGCTACTGCTGAGAATGTTCCAATAATTAGTAAAAGCTTATTTGTATTGCTTATGTATTAAAAGAAATCAAAGAACTTAAATTGCTTTTTCATAGTCCTTTCCCCCTCAATATTCTATTAGTTTTTCATTACTCTTTCAAATTTTCAAATTGATATTTTAATTGTTAATTGCCTACCGCTTTATGAATTATAGTCTATGTATTGCTTATAGAAAATTAGAATTTTAATAATAATTTTCACTAAATTCTATATTGATCTTAAACCTTAACAATATAGTTCTTATTAATCTCATGGGGTTTTGGGGTTTTGGGGTTTTGGGG